ATAAATTTAAAATTAAAATAAAATTAAAATAAATTAAAAAAATAAAATTAAAATTAAATAATAATAAAATAAAATAAAACAAAGAAAAATGAAGAACTAAACTCCTGGCGAGCCCAAGGAGGAAGATGGGAAGGAGATGGGCTGTGCCTGGTGTTGGGGTGTGAAAGCATCTGGGGACCCCAGCTGCCCTCTCATTATCCCCCCCTTCTCTCCTCTCTCTCTCACCTCCCCTGCACTCACTCTCCCTCCACCTCCTGGACTACAGCTGCAGCCAGGCGGGGGCAGCAGAGAGCTGAGCTGGCAGGGGGCCCCATGTGCAGAGAGCTGCAGTGCCCGGGACCCCCCGTAGCTGAGGGTCCGCCCAGGTGGGCACTGTGGCTGTGCTGGGCTCTCCCGCCGGGCGGTCGGGCCAAAACGAAGCTTTTTTAGCCTCTCGGAAAGCCGAGAGTAGAGTGGTGGCTGGTGGGGTTTGGGGGTAAACGGGAGGGTGTTTGTCCCAGGGAACAACTTCCAGGTACACGGTGACCCAGCCTGGGGACTGCAGCAATAACACCGTCCTGTCCACCGACGGATGCTGGAGAGAAGAGATCTTTATTTTTATTTTTTTTTAAATTGATTTCAGACAGAGGGAGAGAAAGAGAGAGAGAGAGAAACATCAGTGATGAGAGCGAACCATGGATCGGCTGCCTCCTGCACGCCCCCTCCTGGGGATGGAGCCCACAACCCGGGCATGTGGGGATCAAACTGGTGACCTCCTGCTTCCTAGGTTGAAGCTCATTCAATGGGCCACGCCAGCCGGGCCGGGACACGGTCATGGTGAAGGAGGAAGGAGGGAGGGAAGTAGGAGGTGGCCGTTTTGCAGCCGAATGACCGTGCGTAGGGGCGCACGCAGCTACCAGCCTGGCAGTGTGGGGTGACCGCGGGTGGGGGCCCCGCCGGCTGCTGCCAGGGGAGGGGTGGGTCGGGATGTTCCGCTCCCGGGCAAGGACGAGAGAGTCAGGGGGGACTCACGCGGCATTCGGGGTGGTGCGCACCCTGACCTCTGACCCAGCCTCGGGTGACTGGGAGAAGGGTTTGGGGCAGGGAATGTCCAGGGAGGCCTCCTCCCGGCTCCTCGGGGCCCGGCACTGCCCCCGTCACAAGGGGCATCTGAGGGACCGATGATCCCGACCGTCTCGATTATGCAAACCCACACGGACGTTTCCAGCCAGGGAAGGACTGGCGGGGGGAGGAGGAGGGGGGTCACTTCAAAGGGGAGGTCCCCGCCCCCCCCTCCTCTCCCGGGTCCCCAGGCAGGGTTCCTGGGATGCCACATGGGGCGGCCTGGCGGCCTGGGATCACGCGGCCAGGGCACAGGCGCTCACATGCTGCTCATGTGAACGCTCTTAAAGGGAGGGTCCTCCGCAGCCAGCTTCCTGCCCCGTCGGAGGAGGAGGCCGTGGGAGGCCCGGCCGCACCATCCCGGCTCTGCCGCCGGCCC